TTAGTAGTGTATAATAATAATATGTATACTCGCTAATAATAATAATGCAAATAAATTTCGTGTATCAATCAATTTGAGATAATATTCTTCTTTTTGGAGGTCATATTAAAATCACTATGCTAGCATAAATAAGTCACCAAAACGTAGCCAAAAATGTATCAAATGAGATCATTATGATTTTTGAAGTGATGTCATAATGATGTCATAATGAGTTTTATGTTCTACCTGGGTAAGGACCATAAGGATAAAGACTGATCGTGTCCATTTTTACCTCGCTCTAGCTCCTTCTTGGATATAGCACGGATGAGAACCAAAAACTCAGTGGACACTGCTCTTACCCACTGACGCTAACGTTACCCGTCGACGTTGGCTACGTAGTTCACGCCCCCGCGTTTTATGGACATAGAGGCGCTTCAAAATAAAGCTAAATTTGCCGCTCCTAGGCTTCTGTCTAGCAACAGCGCCAACAGCTATACATGATTACGTGACGTCATCAGACGTGATCGCGTATAGAGCGAGAAAACGAATCAAGGATCACGGTGCGCAATATAATACTCTTATTTCCTACGCATTACGCATGTGCCATTGCTGTCGGTGTACGTGAGAATCGAAGAGAAATTCGAGAAGGGGTTTACGTAGGGGGAAGAAAAAGCGGAACGGAGCACGGTGGAAGGTAAGCAACCCCGAACGTTTCTCCAAACGATTGATTATTTCTCTGTCAACTGTAATTGATAAAAAAAGTCTGTGCTTTCAGACGCATTTCCGCCGTTTCTGGCGCACGGAGAACCCGTTCATCTAATTGTAAAATTGGAACGGATGCCTTTTGGCCTTTTGGGGAAACGTCCCGATTGGCCACCTCCCGCTATGCTTCTTTAGCAACCCTTAGCGGTTGCCTCGGGACCTCGGCGACTTGTCGGCAAGTGTCCTTATCCAAACGCTATGGTGTTGAATAATAAGTGAGATAATCTCGAAGAAGTATCGTCGCTGAGATCAGAGAGGCCAAAACGATCGACATGGGCCTCAAGGACTTTCGAATAGAGTTTGATAATCAATGGAGCACATATTACCCTGGGCAAACAATGGCAGGTAACATCGTCGTTGACCTGGACAGCACGAAGAAGATTCGTGGTAAGTTCAGCCGAGGGTTCAGCCAAGGGGTACACTTGTTTACACTGACAATATTTATTAAGCATCTTGAAACATTAAAGGCGAAAAAAGATATAAGATATTTCATGTCTCAATTTATTACATCTTTGACATGTTGTTTGAAAATGCCTTCGAGTTAAATTAATTCAGTTATTTCACTTAAAAGAATGCATTCGAAATTTGCAAGTTGAACATTTCATTTAAATCCATTTCCAATCTCTTTCGTCAAAGGATTATAATTTTGAGGGTATAATGACTGCTCTATTTATTAAGCATCTTGAAACATTAAAGGCGAGAAAAGATATGAGATACTTCGTGTCTCGATTTATTACATCTTTGACATG